ATATCATATGCTTACACATGAGCTAATTGACTTCCAAGCCATATACGGTATTTTTTATTTATAAAAAATAAATTCTGATCAAATCATGAGATCGATGTATATACTTGACCCAAAATATCAATAATAATTAGACTTATTAACAGCTTACTCCCTCCTCTAAATCATGGGGTGAATAAAAGAGAAGAAAAAGACATGCATTATGCATAATTAATTAACCTATTAAATAGTGACATAGGCTTACTATTAACAACCAAAAGCTCTAATAACATCCACTAATTGTCTCCTAGAGAGTACAATAGTGGGGCTTAAATCAAGAAATGAAATTTAATGTTTGTTAATTGATATGATGACAACACATGTTAGGAAGAAGAATATGGATGTCCTTGGTGCTCTTAGGAGATGGACTAGAAACTAAAGTGTTTGATATTGAAGGAACATAAAGTGATGATAATTATAGTAGCAGTAATTATGAAGATACACAAATAGTTGAGGAATTGAAAGTTGGGCTAGCAATAGTTGTTGGCGAGCTTTAATAACTGTGAGGCAACCGAAAAATGGATGCTAATTAATGCTATTGTGGAAACTGATTGGCACGAGCTGTCACTCTTTCAAAAGAGCTCATCTATTGTATGCCCAATATTTGCCTATTGCCTAATTATTTACTAATTTGTAACTTGGATCATTCCTTCCTTCAAATTAGTCATACTAGTTGAGATCATTGATTCCTTCAACAAAGTTGTAGTTGATGGGGATAGGGATATTATTATTCATCATCGTGAATAATTTTTTCACCCACATTTTCATCTATCTTCACAGTTCTCTTTGTTGTTTTTTTTTTAAATTTATTTTGAAATTTAAGCAAGAACGTACTAAACCAGTTGTTTCCTAGAGGATATTCTTTTGTACTATTGAGCAGTTCGTGAAATGTGTCACGAGTCATACGTGGTATATACAGACTGATGACAGGCAATTCGTACCTTTATTGTCAACCCAAAAATAATAAAAAGTAAACTTTCAACGGTATAAAACTGGAATTTTGACTAAAATATTATTTTTTTAAAAAAAATACCCAAATAACACCTGTACCAATTTATTTACCCAAGCAGACCTGTTTACTGTTTATGTTCAGAATTCGGTTCCCGAAAAATCAAATTCTGAGCAATGTTTTATATATATATATATATATATTTTTTTTTTTTAAAATTTTTTTTTTTGCATTTTTGGGTTTAGGACATGTGTAAATTTTGCATCTGGAACAACGTGTTCTTAAACCAGAACGAGCCGTTCTAGAGATCTATTTTAACACATAACCTGAATTTTAGAAAACAGAACTCTAGAACGGCCCGTTCTGGTTTAAGAACG